TACAGCACTCTTTGTGTATGTTGTAGAATTGTTTGGAATAGTTTGCACGTGAGAACAGGGACATTAAGAACTCTATCTTCACTCCCTCCAAAATACTTTAAATGTCAAGTTCTGTCTGAATTATCTTTCACTAAACATAAATAAGATAATAAACTAAACATAAATAAGATAATAATTATGTATAACAATATAGCAATGTGTATATATAAAGGAATAATTGTAATCTATTGTAGAATTAATGCAAAAGCAGTACATATTGATGTAAGACCAAAGTCTGTTGGATTGATACATAATCAGCAATATTTGTTTTGGTATTTGGTGGCGTTTTTGCTGCAATGCAGATCTTTATGTCTGGAAACAGGAATGGGAGAATATCTGACAAATTGAGACCTTCTAATTCATGAGTTGTCATTCCTGTGCTCCATGAGCTGATAATTAGAATTAGCATTTTATCCAAAGCCTTAGTACCAAGTGACTTGAATTAAATTTTGGAGTCTTTTGGGGATGAATAGCATAAGGCCTGCTAATGGAGTATGAAATTTAGTGCATTTACATAATTAGCTCACATTTATCACTCGTTACAAATGATCAGGCTTATTAATGTGCTGATGCCTGCTCCGTGTTCTGCTGGCCAGTTCTGAATCACGCCCTTCTCTCCATGTCATACTGTCAGCCTTGCAATTTGTATTAATTAGAACTTGATAGATGAAGGAAGAAATTATTATCAGAACTGAAATTTTAGTGCTGATGGTCCCAGGTGAAAGCATGTGATCAGAGGGCTGAGGAGGGAAACTTGAACATCTACTGCTGTTCTTTTATGTTTCTGTTGTCCAAGTAGCCACTGTTATATTCAATACCATTCCATTCAATTTCAGTGTACACACAAAATGTTTTATTCTCTCTATATTAAGTAAAATAACATTTTTTCTGAATGCATATGAAAATGCTGAGAGACTTATTCTGATACAGCTCTTTGCCTAGTTATTTTGTGTTATGTATTTTTAGATCTATACCTGTTTATTGTTATTACCTAGCTAGACAGTTTCTGTTTCCTTAATGCAAATGAATACCAAGTGTCTAGACAAAGGAAGGCCTGTAGTGTTTTGGTAAGAGCTATCTTTGGGTTGTTTTAAAACCTGGTAGGATTCTGGTGTGGAATTGAACTGGACAAGCCTCATGGTAAGAATGATGGCTCCGTGGGTGGTGTCCAGTACTTCAGCTGCCTTCCTCGCTATGGAATATTTGCACCTCCTTCTCGTGTTCAGAGGTAAGCACTGAAGCAGGTGTAGTGTTTTGTTGTCAGGTGCTTTTTTAGTATGTTTCCCATGAAGAACAGTTTTGAAGTACAGAAGAGCACATAGGGAAGAAATAATCTTTCTTCTGTTAGTGGAAGCCTGTAACCTTTATTAAAAAAATCTCCTGGTTTTTAGATCAGCTTCCTGAAAGCAGAATATAAATTGGAAATGATGCTCCCCCATTTCTCTCGCTGCCATTTACTTCAAGTATTTTCATTTCATGGCCTTCACCTCCAGGACAGCCAGTGTTCATTCAGCCTTACCTTTCTGACCTTGTCCTGATGCTCTGAGCAAAGTTCAATTCTAAAAGGAAGTTGTTTTTGGATGTGACTGGAAATTCTATTTTCATTCCAGCTAACTGTATGGAAGTCCCAAGAATTTGGGATAACGTCACCTCTAAATGATAAATGCTTTGAATAAAGTAACTTGAGTATAGTCGTTAACCACACGCATCTCTTACGTACCAGTCTTCTTACACCAAGGAGTTAGTGTCTTTTGGGTGGGCTCGGGGAAGGAAAACAATTAGAACTTAACCAGTGTCTGACAAGAAGTACTCAGCAGTAGTTTTTACTAAAAATTGTGTTGAAATGGTGTCTTTGTGTCATTGCTTTTCAGATTAACAGGTTCGATGGATTCTCTTGCAGAGACTTCGAGTAAGATAAATCACTCTTTTCCAGGTAGGTGGGTAAGATGCTGTAATTTACCATGTAGCTTATGAAGCCTGCTGTAGGCTACCATTCCTTAATTAGAGCTTGCAGCACTAAGGTCACAGCTCTGAAAGCATGAGATTTTCAAGGAACCCAAGGTTATTTTGTGAAAAGCCTGCTTCCAGTTACCCCTTGTCAGTTTATTTAATTTCTTTTGTCTCAGAACATATGAAGCACGTTATGGACACTTACACTCATGAAAAGTTTCATCAGTTACCAAACTGGAAGGGAGAGTGTGTAGCAAAGATAGTGGGAGCAGTATAAAGGAAAACAGAGATAAGGGACTCATAAACAAAAATCTTTGTAAATCCCACATAGCTCATTAACTTTCTCATTTAGGTTTTAGACGCAGTTTAAGCACCACTTCTGCATCTTCACAAAAAGAGATAAGCAGAAGAAATTCCTTTGCTAGGTGAGTATTTGGGTTTTAAGATGTTTGGGTGAGCCGGCTGATAGCTTTACTGCTTCTTGCTGCAAAGAAAATCTGTGTGCTCACGAGGTGCTAGATGTTATTGTATACACCCACTCTTTTTCCTCCAAAATTAAGCCATTGCCTACTGTTTTTCTGTGGGCATGCTAAGATACAGTCCTTGGATTCAAGGTGGCAGCAAAATGACTTTCCAGTTGCTCATTGCTGTGTATTCTTGTATTTCCATTCAGCTGTTTGAGTTCAGCAGGCCTTGGTAAAGGACTGCACTTTGTCCTGCCTGCTGTACCACCTATCATGAACACTGCAAATCAGGCATGGATTCTTTAAGTATTTCAGACTGCCCTCTGTTTTAGGACACTAGAGTTGTTATATGTTTTGCTAGTAATTTGAGCTTAAACCCAAGTTATCTTACGCACTGCACTAAGTTAGAAATGCGCCTTGGATGTTTCATAGAAAGACACTGACTCTTTCTCCCCCCTATTTTTTAAACTAGATCCAAGAGCTCTGTGTCACGGCACAGCTGGAGCCACCCCAGCACAGCTACCACAGAGGGACTGGTGAAGCTGCACGAAGGCTCGCAGATTCTTCTGACCAGCTCCAATGAAATGGGCACCATCAGGTACATTGGTCCAACAGACTTTGCACCGGGGATATGGCTTGGCCTTGAGCTGCGAAGTGCCAAGGGCAAGAATGATGGCTCTGTGGGGGACAAGCGTTACTTCACCTGCAAGCAGAACCACGGCGTCTTGGTTCGACCGAGCAGGGTCACCTACAGGGGGATCAATGGGGCTAAACTCGTGGATGATATCTGCTGAGCCAGAAGATGCTCAGATGATAGGAAACATTTAAAGCACACAGGATCCCCATGCAGAATGCCAACTTATTTTTAAATTATCAAACCTGCATTTATATTTTATGTATAGATAGATATCTATAATATATATTTGTACTTATATATATATATATACACATATATATCACATCACACACACCAAGTATACAGAGATATAAACAAACAAAAGTTTGGTGTCATTAAGAAGTCAAACCACTGCTCTGTTTCTCTTAATGGAACAGCTCTTACCTGAGAAGGTAATTCCAAAAGCATTTTGGCTTTCAGATGCTGTGTTGTTTGAATCATGCTCCAGCTGGAGAACATGAGTACAGCTAAAGTTCTCTAGAGTTGCTTTATGATTCATGCAGTATTTAAACGATTTTCCTCGGTGTAGTAATGAATTGATAATGCTTTGTGCATTGCCTGCTTTTGAACAGAGGGGGTGGTTAATGAGTGACATTAGTCTGTTCACCAGGCACTATGTCAATTTCAATACCAGCTGCTAGCAATAAAAAAAACCTCTTTTTTTTTCAAGCAGTTATGAGATATTTCTATTATCAGATCCCTCCTCTTCTTTTTCCCCTGCCATTGTCTCCTCCAAATCCAAAAGGGCTGATAAATAAATGCAGGTATTTGCAGTGATCCTAGCAAGCAGCAAATAAGTAAAAAGCCTTTAAAAAGCACAAATGTAGTGCATGTCAGGCAGTAAATTTGTTGTATATATATGAAGCACTCCTTAAAATAATGCACTTTGCACTCTCATTTATAAAGGTTTGGTGTGCTGCAGGCAATAGGTATCATAGTTTTTAAATGCACAGAAACCCTGAGAGGAGCTACGCAACATAACTGTCCAGTAGTCTGTACAAATACAGCATGGCCATCCCTGCCAGCAGTATGTGTTATGGGCTGGGTTTTCAAGCAAGCTAGTAACACTTCAGTTATTTCTGTTTCTTTTGGTTTTCTTTGGTACAGTTTCCAGTGTAAATTCCTTGTAAGAGGCTTAGGATGAATTAAAGATAATTTTACATACCGCACTGTAACATAAGTTGATGTGACATCACTTGCATATCAGCCTTTTTTAAAAACAGCTTGCACTTGTCCATGTTTTAAACATGTAATGTGTTTTAATTGCTCACCGTTATCTCACTATTATCAGGGTGGTTCTGTGTTCCAGATGATCATCTTATACTTAAATGATCTGCTTGCTTTTACCTACTTGAAAGAAGAGACACTTTAAATGAAGTTAGTATCCTATTTTTAGACAGAATTCTGCTGCTATTATGTTATTTTAAATACTACAGTAGCTATTTTTCCTTGGCTGTATTTAAAATACTGCATATTGTACTGTAGCTTATGGGGCGTTTTTAATTGAATATAAAAGTTGTAAATTTTGAATGTAAAAAAAATAAAATAATAATCAGTGCTTTATATTTGAAGATGTACCAAACTGAGTGACATACTGAACATGACTTTGTCCACTATCTGTTTCTTGGTGTATTAGTAAAATGAAAGCCTGGTGAATAGTACTGCACCGAGAAGCTTCCTGAGATCTATACAGTACGTACATCCCCTTACTTTTATTCCTACGTCCAGATTACACAGGCATGTACAGTGTGAAACAGCAGCTATGGAATACCACATGGAAGTTCTAATGTTTCCTAGCTCTGTCATAGAGGATTGCCAGCAGCAGTGCTCTGAGGGTTGTGCAGTTGCTACAGAACCCAGCACACAGGAAGCCAGTTACAGCCATTTTATTGGTCTTCATCATGCCTTTTGGTTCACTACACTTGTTTACAATACAAAGACACTATTCAATACAAAATACTCAATGACCATATATTAGCATTCTTCTTCATAGTATCCCTGAAGTGCACAGGCCCTTCCTTTATAAACAGTGTTGCATAAACTGCTGTAGGTGAGACAGACATTCCTCTAATGAAGCTCTGTTACTAAAAGAAGCCAGATGCAGACAGTTCAGACAGTTCTCATGACAGGTTTAACTTTGGGATAGACACTTTGTGATGTCTTTGCAGCTGTGAGAGACAGTTCTATACTATACCTATGTCAAGGTTCTTGTCACCAAGCAGACAGGCTCAGTAAGAGGAGCAAACATGCACAGTTCAATCCTTCATGGCCTAGCACAGACCTCTCACCTGGTGTGAGCATGCCTGGAGGGGAGCCAAGATACCACTGCATACCCTCTCCCACCACCAGTCCATCCTCCACCCCTCTGGAAGCAGAACCACCTCCATGCCTTGCTTTGTTTCCAGGCACGATGGAGAAACAAGGGTCAGTAGCAAAACCAAAGATGGAAATACAACAAGAAAGGCAGATAAACAGCCCAATCTACTTGACCTTCAGCAGTTAACAAATTAGCACTGGATCAGAAAACCTACCTAATGTCTATAGGACACTGATAACATCCACAGAGAAATAAGTGCTTTGCAGAGCATGAGAGTGGTGATGCAGGGTTTTCCCATTCATGCTGTGCATCCTGGAGATCATACTGCTTCCTGCTTTTCCACTGCAGAGCAGGAAAAACACAAGACAGGAATGCCAATGAAAGAAGAGAAACAGTCTGAAAGCAAGTTGTCAAGTTGTCCCACACTTCAAAAATTTGCATTATCTAGCTCAAAAAAAATTATATCAATGCTTAAAGAAAATAAAAGGAAAAAGTGATAGACAAAAACCTGCAAGAGATTTAGAATCACTTCAGCTTTTTCTTCTCTGACACTAAGCTTTGTGTGGAGAGGCCTAATAAAGGATTTGGGATTTACATGCTCTTTGGTCAGGTAAGCTCAGAGTGGCCTAAGCCCCTTCGGGGGCTTCAGATCTGGGCAGGTGCATCTCTCCTGACAGATTAAAAATTCACAGTTCCTAACTGGACAATAACTGGACAAAAATTTTCTGCTAATGGTGTACACATAAAATAAATTTGCTGGAATGAAAGTGGTAGAAACTGGAACACAGACACCAACACTGACTGCTACTACTTGTGTCAGAAACACTTAAATAAATGCTATTAAAGACCTCCTGGTACAGAAGGTAAGACATCAACTCATCACTAACAACTATGACAAATAATTAGCTCTTCAGACACACACACAGTCTCTATACTAATCACACCTCTAAAATATCATCTACAAATTCTACCTTAAAGCACTCAGCCAAGTTTCTGGAGTTGTCCTGGACTGCCCATAGAAAAAGCCTCTTAATTCCTTTCCCCAGCTCCGCATAAACTCCTGCAAGTAATTCTTTACCCAGTGCACAACTGCAAGAGAAGTGCAGCTCAGAGGCACGTGAGGCAGGACAGCCCCAGCTAATTGGAGGTGGAAAGTAACGAGTATTGCTCAGGTGGAAATCATTACTTTCTTGACAGAGGAAATCAGGCATTATTAATGCTTTTTACATTAAAATAAGCCCAAACCAATGCAACTACTGCCTACTTTGCAACTTCCCTTGTCTTGTGTATTCTTTTATAATGCCCATCAGCACACAGGGCAGGCTTGCTCCTTGTTGACACATAAGAGAGCAAAACAATGTGCTCCTATGCAAAGATGAGCTAAAGAAAACAATGAGGAGCTTCAACTCTTTCAAAATGAGAAAGCAAGAACATTTAAATGAAGATTGCTCTTATATATGAATAACAGTATTTCCTTAAGCAGACAGGAAGCTGACTTACCTCGGGTTTTGGAGCCAGGGCCAGATTCAGAATCACTTCACTGAAATTTCTTGGACTGAAGAACACCTCCATAGTCCTTTGCTGACGCTTCAGGAGGCTCCTTTCTATGGAGATAGGCACCTCCTTTTCAGACTGCACTGATGCTAAAACAGCTCCTTACAACCGTAAGTTGAAGTTACTAACGCATAGCTTTACACATGAATAATTGCCTACGTCTATGGTTTGACAGTACACTTATTTGTCATGCACAAGGTGTACAAAATGAGTCAATGCAGTGCTTGTTTTTAAACCACTATCATACACACATTTTGTTAAAGAAACAAGGGCTCTCGGCCCTTCAATTACAGACAGTATCTGGTATCTAGATTGTGGCACGATGTCATCTTCTGCCTTTATCTTGTTCTTGCTTGTACAGGGTATGTTGAAGGTTACTTTAAATGTCTGAGCTACGCAGGTGGCAGTCCATCTTCAGGGCACAGTTAAAGTTTCTCTCATAACCATGGTCCTTTAAAGCTTCACTTTGGTTGCACTTGACACGCACAAGTTTGTGATGAAGGACATTCATTTGTAGAACAGAAGGAATTTTATGGGTTTTACTCCGTTTCAGTATTTAAATACAGGAGAAAAAACAAACAACAAAAAAACACAGAAAAACACCACCCCTGCTCCAAGCCAGAACCCATCCTCTGTGCTTCCTGCTGTCTCTTGCAAGTGATGTAATCTGACCAGTCTTCCTATTGCCCTGCCAGTGACACCATAACCGCTGTGCATTCAAGGACTCTCAAAGACAAGACTGTAGCTGGAACTTGGGAACGTACCATTGCATCACCATCCAAAGTTGTCATCTCCTTTTTCAGTTTGGACAAAGGACGCTTTCCTCAAACCTGTTCTGGCCTTTGCCAATTACAGGTGCTCTCCAAGTGTTCCTCAGCAACCGTAAGTTTGGCATGGAAAATCCCAGACATGAAACATTCAAGGCAGCGAGCCGTGGCTTTACGCTTAAGCAGAGAACGCAGAACTGAGAGAAGCTCACAGGAAGGGCATGACAACAACCATGCAGATGAGTTAATGCAACAGGAAGCTGGGCCTTGCAGTTAACATTTGTTTCCTGTACCCTCCCTCCCTACTCCTTGCTTATTTTACCGTACTGGGGCTCTGGTGATTTGAAGCCTCTTGGATTATTTGAAATTACAGGTTCGAAGGTGGCACTTCTAGAGCAAGCTGGCACAAATAGAAGGTAATGCCTCACATCACTTGCTCGTGGTGTAGTGGGTAACAGGATATTTCTTCAAGGCTTGGGACTACAGGGGGGAAAGTCAAGAGGGTAGAGGGCTCTCAGGGCCCCTGCTGGGATATGTGGCTCTTGTTTCTAAGGGTGGGGTCCTCATAACCGCTAGCACAAGATGGCGTGGAGGCTTCCAAAGGCAAGCCCTGCTGTTGGTATCCATAGTTGACATTCCCACAGGGGAAGTGACGGAGCCTAAAGAGAGGCACTTCTTTAACGCTTGCTGTTAGGGAGGATGGCTCTAATAGCAGGGAGGAGCCTGGTAGCCTGCCAGTCACTATGTTGGGCCCCACAGTACAGTTTCCTTCATGTCCTAAGTTCTCCCTCTCAGGCATCTCTTTCTCCAGCAGAGGTTTGTTTTTGCTGGCCTGCTTCTCTGCAAACCAGGAACCATAGGTTGGATTCCAGAGGTTGGTAGGCTTGTTTCTGGAGCCTCGGCCTTTGTGCAGCTCAGAAGGGGGGTTGGACTGGGCATAGGCCATGTTGATATGTCCCCCACCCGAGGCTGCCTGCACCTTCCCAGGGACTGATGACTCCAAGGATCCTGCTTTCCCTAGAGCTTTTCCTGCAGTGATGGCTGATGGCAGGGGTGGTGGAGATGGCAAGGTTTGCTTCTCATCCTTTCTGTCTTGGTGCGTGGAAACCAACAGAGGAGGAATTGCTTCTGGATCTTCTGGGCGTATCGCTACCTTCTCTTCCTCTTCAACCGACGGGCCATATTCTACTGGCAAAGCAGTGTTGATGACATCTGGGTCCTGGAGGAGAGAAGAATGAGAATTTCTCCAAGTCTGCTGCCATAATGCACACTTGTACTCAACTGAAAAACTGAGATATCTGACCACGTTCATGCTGTGATCAGAAAGCATCTTTCCCATCAGCTAAAGACCATATCCTGCATGTGAAGGACACTGGCAAAATAACAGTTAGCCATGAGAGGCAATGAGATATCCATAAAACTGAACTCTCTCTAAAAAAAAAAAAAAAAAAAAAAAAAAAAGAACCCTAAAACTTCACACAGAAGAGGAGAAGAGGAGAGAGCACAAAAACAATAAAATTTTTTTTTTTGTCCAGCCAAATTTCCTGTGGGAATGTTGTTTTGCAAGCTGTATCATCTCAAAGTTCATAACGTTCTCAGATAATATTGAGAAAGTTTCAGTCATGAAAGCATTGCCTCCATTTAACAGGGGAAGAGTGGGAAGACAATACAGGAAATCCACAGAGAGAGAAGTTTTGAACTATTAAGCAATTTTGAAAATTAAAAGGAAGGAAACATGGTGGTCTAGGCAACTCATAACTACTACCAGACACCAAGGCGATCTATAGATAACAGAGAAAAATATCTTCCAGGATCCAAACTCTCGTGAAAAACTGATCAAGGCTCCCAGATATTGAGGGAAAGAAAGCTGTCTGAGGCAAATAATTGCATACTCTGAGGCAGGCAGCAAAACGTTTTCCAAACTACTCCACTCCTTATGAACTACAAACAGTGGTTAAAACAAAAATTGGGAAAGCTCAGACTTCAAGATGGAAAACCAGACATACCCTTTTCTCTGCCGCCTAGCCATGCAATCCCACTCATAATGCTACCTCTATCTACCTTCTCCAATGCAGTAAGAGCCAAAAAATTGCCCACAGCTGCCCACTTGGAAAAGGTACTCCAAGCCAGGACCATTTCTGCTCAGTGTTGACCATGTCTTGAGAGTTAAACACTGGGACGAAGCAGCTGACACAAAGCACGTGAAGTACATGCAGGTGCTGGCCTGTCTTTCACTTGTTAGTCATCTGTGCCTTCATAAGCATAAGCAGAGCTATTTGGTCTGCTATTTCTAGAGCTGTGCAAGCCTCTGGCATCAGTCCCTCTGGACTGCTGATTGCAGAAATGCAGTGCCACCTCCTCGTCTCACACTCTGGCTTGCCAAACTGCTCGTCAACTAGAAACATCCTCACCCACCTTATGGGAGATGAATGAACAGAGATACCTGAGTGCAGTACTCGATCCTCTCCAAGATTATGGCAAAGTTTGGCCTGTCTTCTGGCTGGTGCTGCCAGCACTGGGTCATAATGCGGTATCTGAAAGAGCAGAACAAGAAATCTCATAAATTGTACATTGTGTTAGTATGTAACAGCAAGCCACTGCAGCCTAGAAACCATGAGCACACATTGCCACTCTTCTAAGAAATAGAGGGGGTCTGACATCACGGTGAGACAACTGATAATACTGCTAACTACAGAAATATGGCTGCCAGAGTGAAATCTGCACCCATTAGAAAAATAACTCATCCACCTGAAATCCCTTGGGGAATTCAATAAAGGCAGGGTAAGGGAACAGATAATAGAACCCATTTTTTCCTACCTGTGACCAAGCTTACATACTTGCAGTTTCATAGCTATTCTAAGACAGAATTAGTGCACCAGCTTTGAGCAAACAAGCAGTGGCCTCTACTTTTTCAGATGCCTTAATTCTTCCACGAAGAAGACAGAAAAATTAACTGCTAGAGAAGTCACTGGCACTCAAGCTCAGTGAGGCAGATCAACCACAATCAATCTAAAAAGTCATTAGCTTTTAAGAAGAGAACAGCATTCAAAACAGAAACCTGTTTGCATGAATACATCAAAGTTAGAATCTCATACACAGGGCCAGGGCAGTTTTTAGGTGGATCCATCCTTCCTCCGTTGGTTACAAATTCCAGAACCTCCTGGTTACTTTTGCTAGGGTAAGGCATGTATCCCAATGAGAATATCTCCCACAGCAATACGCCAAAGGACCTGAATAGAGAAGGGATCAAAGTGAAGGATACAGGAATGACCACCATCATCACTGAGGGGAAACATCTGCGACAGGAACCCCCTCCAGAGCATTCATCTGTCTGGCTGCTTGAGAATCACCATCTTGAGTGAAATTGCAGAAGAGCTATAAGCAGCAATGGAAACTCAGGCAGCAGCTCAGCTCTGTCAGAGAGGGTGTCTCCATCCTCTCCTCTGCATGGGCTTGCTGAGGAGCTGTGCCCTGACCAGCAGCCCCTTCCCCTCCAGACACAGCCTGGGCTCCTGCCTCCCCACAGCCCCAGCGACCTTCCTCCTTCACCCTGGCTTTATCTCAGCACTACAGCAGGTGAGGTGAGGCCAAGATGCATTATAAGCAGAAGTAACTGCACCAGGGACTTGATTCTTCTGGACAAGCCCTCTGCTTTCAGTTCACAAGTTCACTAAATTTCTCTCCTCATCTTGCTGCTGGAAATTCAAGAGCTCATGGTGCTACTCTGGGATAGGAGGAACGTGAAAGCTGCTGAATGTTACACCCTTCTCCTTAACTGGCAGGATGGATCCTGTTTGCAGTCTCTTATTACATGTGTACTGCTTTCATTTGGAGCTAATGCATTCCTCCCTGTAGCAAAAACACAGCACATCCAACTGCCTCAATCTTCCTTCCCCGCTTGCTTGCTGCCCCAGCAGCACCTGCCTTTGCTGACTGCCTGTTCCCTCATGTCCTACAGATTTCTGCCCCTGAAGGACCTTGCTTGTCTAAGGGGGAAATGAACAAGAAACAAAACATTCACACTTTACCCAATGGATTACAACAGACAGACACACACGCACATAAACACAGATGGAGCAGTAAGGGAAGCTCACCATGTGTCTGTTTTTGATGTAAATATCCCTTCCATGAAAGCCTCGGGAGGCATCCATTTGACAGGCAGCATTGCACACCCTCCCTTCCGATAGTAGCTGGCTCTGCAGAGAACAAGCAAAACAGTCAGCCAGGAATTCAAAAAAATGTCCTGAACTCAGAATTTTTATAATGAGGAATATTAAAATTATCATCTGAAAGAAGGGATTAATTTAGGGAAAAGAGCACACTAGAGAAAATGCTGGAGAGACCTGTTTCTTCTCACAAAAATGATGGCAATGGGCCATGTAAGGTCTGCTCTGCAATCTCCCTCACCTTAGGCCTGATCCAATGAAACTGAGTTATGCTTATCTGTGTGCATACTTGAGTGACTTGACTATCCTTGCTGCTGTGCTTTTCAGCCCCAGCAAGACTTCCACATCATCTCACAGGTGGTGGCCTCAAGCATCCCCAGCTACCATAAACAAAGCCTTTCCCAAACATACCCAGTTTAAGCACTGCAAGAGGGATCCAAAACCCTTAGTAGGACCCAAGAGCAGCAAGGAGGATGGTCAGCTAGCAGATAGAAAAGTTACCTCCTATGCTCCAGAGACAGGAAGTATAACAGTCTTTATGTTGTTTTTGTTTAAAATAAAGCCTATAATCCCCAAAACCTGTGCTGGCAGCTACAGCATGTTTCTCATGCAAGCCAATATTTATGTTCATAACTAAACAGCCTGAGCACACAAAGCATACTACGAGACACTGAAACATGTGCAAACTTCAGAGACATCTCTGAAAACTCGGCACCAAAGCATTCATCTTGGCAGTCGGTTCAACTGATGTGTGAGTGTGACAGATGTTACTTTGTCCTAGCAGAGTCCCATCTGACAGTGGGCAGAGCAGAGGCTCTTTGTTAAAACAGAGATGGGGGAGGAAAAAAAAAAAGCAGTTCTGATATGCTTGGTTTTTTTTGAAAGTAATACTCTGTTTGCATCACCTCAGGCTGTGATACTGGCAGACCTCAAGTTAAGCAGAGCCAGGCCTGGCTTAGTAATTGCACAGAAGAATCCCCAACCAGGAAAAAAAGAAGCTGAGGCTCTGGAATAAAGAGTGCGAATGACTGACTACAAGGCTTTCCTTCCTTTGAGTCAGAGGCAAATCAATTCCTCAGCACAGCAGGACACGGTGCTGTGCTTCTGGGGTTGCTGTTTAGAAGATGAGATCTGAAACTGCTGCCCTGACTGCTTGTGGTCATTAAAGGCTTCCTGACTCTTTCTTACAAGAACAGAGTAGTTAACTCTGTGTCCTCACTTCCAGTTTTGGTGATTGCATTTTCCTAACTTTCCTCTGCACCCCTCCTTTATTTGCAGTAAATTGAGGAGATGTACTGATGACACCAAGCCAAAGGGGCAGGGGTAGTATCAAGCAGAAAGATTAAATGCAGAAACATTGGGGACCACACAGCAGAAGGGCACATTGGTGCCATTCAGTGCAGACAGCAGCAAGGCAAGAAATTGTGGATAGAGTACAAGAGGGAGGAAAAATGCCTTCCATGGCCATCAGACTTCATTACCAAGAAATAGACTCTCAGGGAGTGGTAAAAGACTCCAAAGCTCTCCTAAAGCATAGTGGAAGGCAAAAACCAACAAAAACATTAGCCGGGATTCATTGGGGTTGAATGTCTCCACTTTTGCTTTGCTAGAGTTACACAGAGCAGCACATGAGCTTGCTGTCCTTTAGAGACACTTCTTTCTCATTTTTGTGAGCTTCTGCTTGTGGATAACCTGGCTGTAGGTCTGCTACCTGTATATATCCCGGGCCATGCCAAAGTCTCCAATTTTAGCCACTCTTCCAGGCCCTCGGCAGGTAAGGAGGCAGTTCCTAGCAGCAATATCCCTACAAAGAAAGGCAAGAAAAGCAAGAGAGAGAGGAGAATCAATCATTCCATGGTTTTGCAAAGCAAAAAGACAACAGAATAGTCATTTTCCTGAAGTGCAGAGAACTCCCACCACCCAGAAAGTCAGTGTTCACAGGTAACTAGTGATTTCAATCTATTCCAATAGCAGGAAAAGTTCTTCTCTTAAAAAATTTCCTCCTAAAGCTTCATTTAACATCTCTTCGACAGGATGGCCTCCAGCAAGCCTCTTGTCACCCAGGAGCTATTAATTTTGCTAGGGAGTTGCAAGCAATGAGGCTGATTTCAGCAATGTATCAGTGCTGGCATCAAGCTGTCTGGGGAATGACTCATTGATCTGTTCCTAGCATGTTTGTTCAAATGTTGTCCAACAGGTATTGAACTGTCAGAGACAGGAAGAACAACAACATGCAAAAGAGCCTGAATCTGTGGATGCAGGTAAAGCTCCATCTCTGCTTAGCTGAAATAAACCCGAGACCAGAATAATGCAGTTGCACCCCTTGTAACTCAGAAAAGTGAATTGCAATCTGGCTACAACAGCTTCACACAGCTCCTCGCAAAGCCACATGCTAGCACTGGGCTCTTCTGTTGTAGGTAGAGTGGCCATGCACATTCATTATGAACAACAGCAGTGCAGGATTAGTGGGAACCAAAGAACAACTGTTGACATCTCTGCTTCCCTTTTTACTTGCTGTTGTTAAGAGTTGGAAGGAATACAAACGTGGTCACTCCAGGCCATGTTAAATGCTATGGCATTCATTTAAAATGTTCTAAAGTTAAGGTTGTAAAAAAATTAATAGAAAACGCTAAGGAAGCAGTAACACATCTTGACTTCTGCCCTTCATGGTCTGCCTTCGTATTGCCCTGCCCCCCCCCCCCAACTATATTCTCCAGCATGTTTGCATGGCTCTACACAATGCTATAGGCAGAATTTTGGATGCTTCTCAAAAACCCTGCTCTGCAGAAGCAGGTAGCAATAGTCACAACATGCTGTGCTTCTAGCTGTACTTTACTTTGAGAGGGAGAAAGAGTTCCAGAGTGAGCAGGAAGACACTCAGCACAATTCTCAATGGGGAGGAGCTTTGAAGACATCTATCACATGATCAGGCTGCAAAATCACTGAAAAAAAGAGCTCAGGATCTTTGATAAAGCCACAGACCTCTGCAATTTGATCAACAGCAGCATTTCTGTCAATTGCTTATGTTACTCTGGTTTTATCTACCTTGTTCAAATCTATCCAGCCACTAGAGTGCAGCAAGACATAAACATATCCAACAAGGGCATTATGAGTCATTCTGGCCCCTATGAAAGTCATGCCCATGCTGACACAGATGCATTCATCTACCTGTGAATGAAGTGATTCTCCTCCAGGTACTGACACCCACAAGCAATGTCATGAGCCACGTGGAGCAAGTCCAGCATGGAGAGGGAGGAAAGCTGATTCTACCGAAAGACAAAAGGAGAAAGTGAGTTAAAGAACACAGCATGATTCGTGACTGATAGAACACTGAGAACAGTCCATCCAGTATGCACAACGTAGCTCACACATTAACATACAGAAGGATTAAAAAGAAAAATTGCACAAGGGAGAGTTCATATCCATGAACTACAGAAAGACAGAATCAGAACGGCTGGATCTGACTTTCTAACTCCATTCAGAAATCCCCTGTAAGAATCTCTCACTGTTTTGCATGACATAAATGGATTTCCCCCAGTTCTCGTGGGAGACATTTCTGAATTTTTAGAATATTTTCATTTGAGGAGATACGTAGCCTGGAGACCTGACGCTCCATCAATTACTTTATATTATTTCTTGCTCTTCTCTGCAGTCACCTTGAACAATGAGAATGACATTTTGTGTAATGGCATGAGTCACATTTGCTCTTTTCCTCCTCCACATCTGTGTAGGTTTTATTTTGCCCCTCAGAGCACACAGGTTTGCTTAGCCAATGGCTACAGGAGATGAGAGCTGCCAACTCCTTTCTTCAGCCCCTCTGATGAGGTCTACAGCCTTAGCCAGCAGAAGGCAGATACCTTTGTGAAAAGGGCAGGCTGAGCAACAGCTCCTGCTTGTGGGCCTCTGAAACCAAAATGAGGTGTGAATTAGTGATCCTGCACAAGTCCTGCAGGAGAGGAGGAAATTACTTCTGCTGATGACAGGGCTAACGCCAAACAACTAGGTGGCAGCGACTGCTTATTCCACAGCAGCCATTTGCTGGGTAAGCATTTATCTGCAGCCTTAGCTAAGCAATGCTATCCCACTCTCCAGTTCTCCCTGCTGACACCTACCACCCACCCAGTGCCCAAAAAGCACACCTGTGCATGAGTTTTTCCTCATGGCACACCAACCAGCACAGTGTCCAGTGATGGGAACTGCAGCCTGTGCCAACCTGCCTGTTGTAATGAAACACTGCCCAGACTGCTGTGATGCTTTGTCAGCCTTATCACTGGCTCTAAAGCACCACTGAGTGGAAATGAAAATAAGTCTACCCTTTGCTGCCAGTAAATATTGGACATTGTCTAAACCTAAACAAGCCCTCACACCTTCTTAAGAGGTTAGGAAAGCCCTAGCCTCCATACTTGACTAATGATGGAAATAGGCTTTGTTCACACAGAGTATATTTTTTCAATGTGGTTTTATAAAGCAAAATAATTTGTGACTACCTATCACCTGCCTGTATTTTATTTATTCACTACATTGCATATATATTTAATTCATTTTTTAAAAGCCTTGACTGAGTCTCCCTCTGAACCTTTTGTTTTGTAGAGTAACCATTTCCTAAAGGCATTAAAACCTTTCCTCCTGCCTCCAACATTTGTGGGCAGGGGGAATTCATCTTTTTCATCTCTCCAAGTTAAAGTGACTCACCAGCTAGGAGACAAGATGACAGCTACAGTAAGAGGATTGCAGTGCCCCTTTTCCCCACATTTCAGGGCACAATCCATGGGAATTGAATATTTCAGCCTACCCATTCTCTTAACTTTTGAGCAAGGCTCAAAATCTTGTTGCAAGAACTGAGTAAAAAGCCCCAGTCTTTACTGTGCAATTGTCTCCAGATCTGAGCTATAGTGCAAGTCAGTACAATGAAGCCACAACGAGCTAAACTGAACAGTATAGATTTTCTCCCACTCTCCCACCCCTCTTTCCCCCTCCCCCCCCCCCCCCTTGGATGAATTTCTTCCACCTTTTATTTGGCTAAATGCAATCCTAAAACAGATGTGACTGCCCAGCCAAGGACACTTTAGCCATGCAATTTGTTTGAGGAATGGATGGTTTGGATTCATTTTGCAGGGGAAGGAGCCTTGAGACTCTAAAGAATTCACTTCACAGCTGTTCACAGCTTTTGCTCCCCAGATGAATGAACGATGCCAGCTGCCAAGCACCACTGCTCAGAGCAGCAGGCATGCTAGAAGCACTAATGTGACACCTCCCTGGGTGAGGCTGGAGCTTGCTAAAGGGGAATGAAACTGTGTGTTGTTCAGTGTAATCACGGCTCTGTGCAACAGGCTGCAGAACACATGGGAAAGTAAAGGTAAAAGAAAGTAAAGCAGCTGGAAAATACAAAACTGAGTAAAGTAAGGAGAAATGATGCAAGTAAGGAGAGTAATGCAAAGATAAAGCTCAGTAAGCACTGCACCTTTGCTACTGAATCAGTCAGCTGGGTCTTGTGTGTTCAGTTAATCCCTGTTGGAAGCACAGCTCATCGAAACCTGTTGACTGCACTGTTCTCCCTTTTCCTCCCTTCCCCCTTTTCCAGAAAAATTGAACCCCACTTTCCTGTGCCTAATCTCTGCCTGTCCCGAATCAGCAAAAGGAAGAACAAAGGAGCTCAGGGCTCATTCAGATTAGAGCACAGATACAACCAGCAGTACAGAACCACACTCAAACACGATATATGTGGGGTATGAAACCCTCTTTGGCTTTTTGGCAGAAAGCTTGCTTTCTGAGGTATTTCTTGCGATAAGACCCTAGGAAATGAGAGCTGGGTGTTGCCATGTGGCAATCAATATCACTGTGTGGACAATTTTACAGTTGAAAGCATTTCTTTGGAGCTGTTTACCTTCAGAAGATAGTGCTCAGGACTGTTTAATGGCAGAAGATCTAGCCTGTGACCAAATAACTCCTGTTTACTATGAGAGACTGGGGGATGATGCCATTGTATCCTGTGAAGGCAAGATACAAATTGGTGCCTCCCTGCTCCCTCTTATCTGCTGGCAAGGCCAGGGAGATAGGAACAAAGGAGCTTCCGCTGAGATCCCAAAGCCAGAAGCTGCCACTCCAAGAGCGGCTGACTCAACTACCTTGGGTTTGAGCTGTCACTCCAAAGACAGTTGACTCAACCACTTTGAAACCATTGAAAAGGGGCCATCATGGCCCTGGTCACTGTTATGGTTGTTGTTGTCAACAGAACAACAGTGCCTGACAACCCCCCACTACTGAAGATCAATGACTAAACTACCAACCACGCTGGATCCATGGGGGCGACTATCTCTCTCTTGCTTCCTATAAAGACTCCTTGCTTCTTCTTTCCTATCTTTTCTATCACCCTCCTTCCCCATTTCCCTAATTTATAATAGTGTCCATCCTCCCCTTCCCCATCTCCTTAATTAAGATCTGCAATAAACTGGTCGGACCAACATTTGAACCATTGTTTCTTAATCTCACACCAGGTATATAGATGTTAAAAGAACCTCATTTCCCTCCTATAAATTGGAGCAAAGCATGTAGTACATGGGTACTATCACACTTCAAGTACATGCAGAAGGTAAACACGCTTCCACAGCTGGAAAGCATACATCACAGTGAATAACATCCTGCACACAGCCCATCTGTCATCAGCGAGTCTCCTAGCCTGCCTGTTTTCCAGTCAGCAGAGAAGCACATGAACCACAGGTGATTTCACAGCACTCAAGAGTTGCTCAGGAGCTGCCCAGGCAGCCAGACAGTGAATTACCCTGTTATTCACCCCAAGTCAATATCAGATAAACTCAAAGAGATTGAGAAAGACAAGGAGAGAAGAGGAAAGGAAGGAGAGACAGGAGAAGCAGCAATAGTAAGGACATAATGTATGCTGCTGCCTAGAGCAAGTCTTCTGCCTCTTCTGACATTAGCTTTCACAGGTACAGCACAGAGCTACCACTGACAGAAATGAAAGCCCAGACAGGCAAGGAGGAACTCATGGCTGGAATAGGTGTGGACAGAAAGAAACCCCTCAGATGCAAAGGCTCCCATGGCTACATCCTATAATGAACCTATAGGTTCATTTTACTGCAAGTAGGTCAAAATTCCTGCTGCTCAGGACTAATGGTCTTGGTGCTTCCTCACAAGGCCCTGATCATTACTGAGTTGGCTTCTCTTAAAGAGCAAAAAAGAGGATTCCATTACAAAGTGATGGATGCCCTTGCCCCATGTCTATGCAAGAAAATAATGCCTGGAAGAGAAAACAACAGCTCCCAAGCCACAAAATGGAAAAGAAAATAAATTGCAGAAAGCCACAGACATTTGCAGTCTGTGCTGCCACTTTATACAGACAGCACGCTCTGTGCTGGCAGTTTTGAAAAGCACACCTACCAGGCAGCACACTTTGGCCCATGCCATTTCAACCTGCACCAGCTGAAAGCAGAGTCCACATTGCAATACATGAATTTCCCCATTCACTGGCCACCAAGTCCATCTGCACGAGCTGACAAGAGAACCTCTAAGTAAAACAGAAATCCAGCCTCTCTTTATAAAGACTGCTTGCTCAGACTCAGACATCTAGCACCTTGAATTTCTGTGTTTAACTTTTTTACTCAAGCAGAAATTACTTTACTGCACCCTTTCCAAGACTGCAGTGGTTTTGGGCAACACATACCATTTTATATGCCTGAAAACTAGACTGCGAGGGAAAAAAAATTAAGTTTATCTCTTTCCAGATGCATCAAGGAAGACTCTTACTTAAATCTCTCAGAGTCAGTATGTATCTTTTTGTGCTGATAAAATCAAGCATTTTTTCCTCTGTCAAATAAACGTAGAGACAAAGAATGAAGCTGGACCCTGGCACTAAGTTTTAAGTGGGCGCCTTTCTAATCCAGTCGCTTTGAGCAAACTTTATTCTTCTGAAGTACTGATTCTTCTCTAGAAGTCACAACACATTGCTCATGCATTTCAGTCTCCCTTTTCACATTGATGCTGATTTCAGGGAAAATCTTTAAAACGCTGGACTAGCTATTAATTCAACAGCTCCAGGCTAGATAATCTACTTGCCTATGCAAAACTTTTGACAGATATCCACAGAAATGCACTTGATTGACAGTTTAAACATCAGCTTCATCATTACTTGTTCAACATATTTCTGTTTCATTAGATAGGATCTGCAGTGTTATATAGCAAAGTCCATCCATAATGCTCCTCTGCATAACCCCAGCAACATTTATTGCATATACACTTCTGTCCTGACCTCAAGAGTGGCTTTCTGGCAACAGAAAGCTCTGACTCTAAAGCGCTGGAAAATGGTAGCTGCATGGATCAGCCCTTCTATGGTTACACATTTGCCTTGTGGCAGCAGCTTACTAAATACAATTCAATTTTCTATTTCCTTACCGGTCTGGGCCGTGTCTCCCTCAGGAATGATTTCAGGTCACCTCCAGCCATGAGCTCTAGCAAGATGAAACGGGGCAGCGCCTGCAAACTCACTCCGATACAACGCACAATATTCTGGTGATTGAACTTGCTGTGGAGAGAGGGAGGCTCAATAACGGATTAGCTTTGATCCAAAAAAGCATGATTATAGGAAAGAATCACAATGTTTTGCTGTGGGGAATGTGTCTGACTTTTTTTTTTCCCCTCTTCAAAATAAGTAACAAATCTTAAAGTCAGGGGAACTAGATTAAGCCAAAATACTCCCCTTGCACTCTGCACAGTGCAGCAACAGAGGGTGGAGGTTGGGAAGGAATGGCTTTTAGCTGCTTTTCAGTTTCCTTATATTCTGTGTCCCCTTCGTGCAACAGCAAGACTTGTGGGTCATATGAAGCACTGAATGTCTGTTAAGAGAATGTCTGCTCCTATTTTCTTGTGTCCCAGGGCACAAGTTGGGCTAGGGCAGAGTTGTTCCAAAGAACATGCTGACACAGGGATCAGCTTACATAGAGGCATATTCCTCAAGGCCAAGTCTCTAGTACTTCTTTATTTCTCCAGGCCTTAATGTGATGGGGAACTACCTCCTTGGATTCCAGGACTCAGTCTCTGACAGGTGATGTGACAACAGCATTGGGTTAATGACATCTGTTCATTCGGAACGTTTTTGCTTACAGTGCTGTTCTACACAAATCCTTGTTCATCTTATTCATACACACCTAATAATGAGAGCTTCCATGAGGAAGTCCAGCTCATCTTGCTCTGAACACACTTCAGGCAATGTCTGGAAAAGAAAGAACAGGTTGATAAGGAGAAGATATTTTAAAACTGAGAAATGTCCAACATCTGACACAATGAAAAGCACTAATGTCTGCAGCCATCCTTGTTTCTCTTGAAAGAGCCCTTGTTCTAATAATAGCTAGACCATTATAAAAATAGACTGTGAAGCTTGGTGAGAGATACAGATCAGGACATATAAAAACCACTATCATCCTCCTCCTGGTAAAGGAAGCATCCCAGAGCACACAGGCAACAGTGCTAACATATGAGACTCCACTGTGTACAGAAGGAGGAATGAGACCTTAGCTCCTGAGCTCACCGACAGGGCAATACCATTACCTCCCATCAGAACTATTTAAGACTTAGCTGCTACGTAACCTCTAGGAGAAAACAAGGTAGGCAAGCTGCTGAAGGCCTGAAGAACCCTACCAGACTCCCTTAAGATTTACCTATGCACTCAGTGCATATTCATCCCGTAATGGAGTGGTGAGAACCATGGAAATCCACCTCCCACCTACAGGCTTTTTGATGTAGCTGCTCCTAGCTACATGAAGATTTCTGTCCCTCTGACTCAAAGGCTTTGAACAGATTACCACACCAGGAGTAGCATGCACAGGATGGACAGAGGGCTTATTTCTCATTCTTGCTGAATACTACAGCTTTACGGGAAATGTTTGTCTATTCACTGCTTATAAACAATTTCTTTTAAGTCTTACAAGCTCATGCGTGACAAGCTGTACCACTGTGATGAATGGAAGTGCTGCAATAGAACAGCAACCTTTCTACACAAATCCTATGGTAATGCTTAATTCATCTCTATTTTTATAATGCATTGGGACTCCTGGGTGAAAAGTGCATGAAACCATCATGATAACTCATACGCTGTCACTTACTTTCACAGCCACCTGCAAGGGAGTGGGGTCGCTGGGGATCCCTGCCACCTGACCTTCATATACCTCACCAAAGGCTCCGTGGCCCAAACCCCTGGACAGACCAGAGAAGACAAGAAGGTTTTACTCCAGAGAACATACATCATAACACTGTGGTCACAGCTCACAGAACGGGCTCACAATTTTCATGGCAGTGGAACAGGGAGATCTGGATGTTGGCACTACACAGCAAACTGAACCTTTGTATAATTAATTGATCCTGGACCTAAAATGTATGTGATTGGTAGAGAAAACAATCCTCAGAAGCGAACTGCTCCAGCAAAATCAAACTGCTGATACTACAAAGTGTAATAGACAGCATTTTCTACTGCTTTGGTGCCAGTGCTCTAGTGGGTGGGTTCTCCAAAGCAGGTCAAAAAAGATGTCTCTAAGCCTCGGTGTTTCTACACCCTAATTAATAGTTCCCATGTTTATGCTCTGTCAGTGGAGGAGATACTGAACAAGAAACTAGGAAGCACAGTGATTCTCAGAAGACCTACATTTCACAAGCTAATGATATTTTCCTGGTTTGTTCTGTGACTAGGTAAATACCTCAGCAAGAAAACAGTGATAACAGCGTTTTGTAAAGCACTTGGCTCTACGAATTCATGCTGAGAATTGTAACAAGCACTGATTATGAAGCTTATGTTTTTATGTTGAATAAGGAGGATAAAGGAAAAAAAATAATCACACCACATCCTGTCCTGTGTCCTTGTGATACAGATTTTACATACCTGCCTATTCAGTCTTTGCACACTGAGTACTAAGCCAACTGGTGCTACAACAATACCACATGGGTGACACCTCCTAACAACACAATGAACTCTTAGGGAATGAGACTACATCCCAGATCCTGGGACCCTCTTAACACTGCATGAGTTGTATGTTGGGCAGCATAAACTTGAGACTCCCAGAGACATTCCTGCACCTCAGTCTGGGTTAAGAGGTGCTTACTTCCTCAACAAGCACTATCCCAGTAGTGCCAGGTCTGACCTCAGAGCTGCACCGAGTGTCTATCCTCTGTTTTTGTGTGGGCAATATACACTGTTGAGAGCAGTCTCAGCAGTGAAACCACAGTGAGGACTGCCTGTAACACAACCACTTCTTTAATAACATTTTGTAGGTATCAGCTCTGCTGTGCCTGACCAACTTTTTACAGATTACAAGTCTACTGCTCATAATTCACTTTCCTGTCTGATAGCCCAACATCCCTGCCCCTATCAATTCCCAGCTGCATCCTCTGCTCTCTGCAGTTTGCCACACTTTCAGATGTCCTTTCAGAGCCCAAGTGACAAAGGCAGCAGCACAGGGTACACTAGAAACTTCCAGATGCAGTCCAGCAAGATACATAGGCAAAGAGAAAACATGGTAACAACACAATGAAGCTACAGGGCACTGCAGACTGCATGCATAGCTTTATCAGCATCTACGTCTTCCAAGCTCTCCTGATTCATCTTGGGATTTCTGTATAAAGCTACATGGTAGCAGAGTGATGCCACATGAATGTGGATCACAGAGAAGGCAAAGATGAATTTACCGGATGAGGGAGATGTTTTTGCGAGGCACCTCTTTGAGGTCACTAATGGAGGTGGTCTTTCCTGCAAAGCAGTAGTTGGGATTGTAGTCTGTCATAATAGTGGAGGTACGCAGTTTGCTCAGCTTATATTCTGGGCTCTGTAACTCCATCTGCATGGCTTGTAGCTCCTGGTGCTTCCGACGATACACTGAATATAGAGAACATGGTAAACCAGCAATGCAGATTGCCTCTGAGAGATGAGGGCAGCCAAGCAGTATCTCTCATTGGAATAAGATGCAGGGTCAAATTCCAGTGAATCAAAACAGACAGTGATACTGTCGTATTTCTGCACGTCAAGTAATTACAGATAGAAAATGGAATCTGAAGTTACCCAGGAACCTTCGACTTACGTACCTTATGAAGAATCCAGCTTGCTCATTAACTGCTTGGAAAATGCAAAATGAATTTCACTTGCAGAAATCTCTGATTTCACAAGCCTGAGGTTTTTGTTTTGCCCTGTTTAGTTTAGCTGGACTTTCCAATTGTGAATCCAGATTCAAACCTGAGGGAGTCTGGCTACAGTCAACTTTCCTAAATCATAGAAAAGTGACTAAGAGCCTGAAATAAATTACTGTATTACGTTGTTCCAAATGGATAGACTAAACGTTTACATCAGAATAAAACATTGCATACAAAAGAAATCTGTTTTGCAAAACTTCCTGTTTCTAAACAACGGAGTTGGACTAAATTTGAAATCAGCTTATAATAGTTTTATATCACTCGAACCACTTCACTGATCTTTGAAATCTTACTGGAAATCGCACCTTGAAAAAAGGCATCCTGTGGATATTCCTTGGAATAGTAATTGATATTGCATGTACTTTTTTCAAAGCAAGATGCCCATCTTGTACTGATTAAATCAGTATTACCTTTACCTTGATTTCTTTGGGAGCTGGAGTGGGCCCAAACACTGTGACTGTAAAAACTACTGCATCCACTCCAACAGACGTTCCTCAGAGGAAGAATTTAAAAAGCATAGACACTCACTGGCAAAGGCAGATGGATGTAACGACCTATCCACAAGTCCTCCCTGTCCTCCATTTTCCTCCTCATTGCTTTTGCTTTGATCTTTTTAAAATTGCTGCTCTTTGCTGAGATGAAAATGATAGTCTGGTTGGACAGATACCGGATTATTCTTCCACACTCTGAGATATAATTAGTAATTTTTAAAGGGGCACTGTCAGGCCAGAAAGCACATGTACAGGACCGTGTGTGTGCAACTGATAATTTCCAAAACTCTTAAAACTGCAACAGCTGTGCAAATCTAATTTACCAGTTGCCATTTGCTACTCTGGGTACGTCACTGCCCTCCTCTCAATTCTACACAGTGTGGACAAAGAAAGGTGGCAGAGCTGTGGTTTGAAGCATCGATTTTCCCTGATTCAGTTCTGTTCTGCTTGCAACCAAATGCAAGAAAAGTCTTGTTTAAAATAAGAAAATGAAAGGGTGAAAAATACCTTTTCAAACTTCAAATAAAGATGCCAAGAGCATCCACACTCTACAAATTAGCAGGCTGTATAAAGTGAACTTTGTGAGAATTTCAAGCTTAGATGTCATACATTAAGGAGCTAAATCTGTATATAGGCACACAAATAAAGAGGTTTGCTTTTAGATGTTAAGAACCAGCAGCTCTGACAAAAACAGTGACAGCTCTGTTCTGGCAACTTTACACCACAGCACAAACAATAAAATCTCTTCAAATATGCACTCAGTAACTGAAACTCCTCAAATTGGTCAATGTGGTTAGAAACAACTAAAGAAATCCCAAGGTAAAGAGTGTGCGTGGGAAGGTACCGTGCAATACAGCAGCAGCTAAAAACTGCATCTCCCAGGGCCCGATTATTCTCGGCTCAGATCCAGCCATCACAAGGCAAATATCATTTGCAGAAAAACACTCACCTATCATGATTCCTGAAAAAGCCAAAATTAAGGCAGCAACCAATGCTGAGGTCACTACTGACAAAACCAAGGAGAGAGGGAGATGAACTGTTGGCTCAGCTGCAATGGAGACAAGAGGAAAAGAAATTACATTTGACACAATCTTCCAGCAGACACTTTTTTTTCTGCAGCTAGATTTTTCTGCTCTTCCTTCTGTTTACTTATCTGCTGCTCCTACAGCATAGGAGCAACATCTGACACGATTGATGATCTCAGGATCGATAAACTCAAATATCTCTTTGTTTTACTTTTCTCAATTAACACCAAGCCATTAAAACAGATGGTTTGCTATCAAGGAATTAACACGTGCACTCCCCGTGTATGAAAACAAGACCATAAAAGCTGGGGGTAGGAGGCTGGGGAGATGGAAAGAACATTAAATAGCCTGGTCTAGAGTACTGCTATCAATGCCAAATCAGAGCAGAAGAAGGACTGCAATATATCATCTCCTAAATGCATCTAGTCCAGGCACACAAAACTGATAACATATGCACTACAGAGTATTCCCTAGCTGCACGCTTGCTTGGATCATTCAATGACCATCTATTAAGGTTTACTTCACCCTGCAAAATGACCGTGCTTTTACTCACTTTACAGGTGCCTGCGGTAAAAATACAGAGAGCAGGATCCCAAAAGCCTGGAGTCACTTGCTATACTGCTGGGCAAGAATATGAAATAAAAGCTTGTAATGGAGTTCTGAGCATTCGGTTTCTGTAGTAAGGCAAGTATAGGTACTGTCTTTTGTTTTCCTCAGAGATCTCTCACGCAGAATTTTTTTTACAGATCCTGCACATACACCTTGTGTCCAAATCCACAGGAATTGCACTCCCCTTCACTTGTACAGTACCTCAGAGTTCTTCAGAGAAATAACCTCGAAATTTAGCAGAAAGACTCCTTTTCTGAGAAAACTTTCATGATTTCAAAGCAAAAAGTGACTGTTGTTGCAACCAGATCTGCTACCCTTTGCCTCTTGTGGATAAAATTTGGCTCACAATGCTCAGTGCCCAGTATGCCACTGATATATTATAAAGCAAACCAGAGATGCTGCTCTTTGCACCATACCTCTGCACTGATGTGCCTGTGTTCGAGCAAAATAACTGTACAGCCAATACCAGCAGAAAATAAGACAGATAACATACAACAGAAGCCACTTTTAAGAGAGAGACAAGATAAGATTTCCAGATGCTTTTACAGTCCAAACTACAGATTTTGACTATGTGTTTTCTGTTACATGTTACCAGCCTATCATCTACTTACCTATGCAAGACACACCATCCTCAGCCAAGTCTGTGCCTGGCTCACAAAAGCAAATGACTTTCTGAGTTTCAAGATCAACACGGCACTCGTCCATCTCACAGTGACTGCAGTTAAGATGCAGCCTAATATCCACCTCTCCATGCCCCTCTGTCACTAGGGAACGGATGAAAGAAGCAACGTTAAATACTGGAAAGATCATTCATCTCATTCCCTCGGGCACTGACAGAAAGGGAGGCATTGTGATCACAGCTGCTGGCTGTGGCAGAGGAAGTCCCATCTAAGAAACTATTCTCTGCACCTTCCATGGCCGCAGTCCTTTTCTCACATAGAAAATAATGTCCAACTACATCAACCAGCTGAGGTGCTCTGGCTCTCTTTCAGCAGGCAGTTCAACCAGGCTAGCAAACCCAATCTTCCAGCAGGCAGTGAGGCTCACTCTTTCTTAGCCTTTACTCTTTTTGAGTTCAAACCATGCAGTATTTTCAAATTTTTTTGGCTGAATCTAACAGTTCAGAGTCCATTTGCATTTGAAAACACTTCTGGCTGCTCCTAAGCAAACTTTTTCTGCTCACGTAGATATTCCCATATTTTCTAAATACAATGAAAACACCCAGTGACATCTGGGCAAACACAGGCCTAGAGATAGCTGGAGTAGCAATATTTCTGGGAAGCGTTCATACTCAACTGGGTTGGCTAAGCAACCTTTCTCCCTCTTGTTTAGAATGACAATAAAATGTATCTAAAGCTTTCTGACGGGTCTTACAGATGCAAACTAGTCTTAACATGAAAGAAAACCACTAGAGGAGACTGCAGACCAACATGAGTACCTTTAAGTGCTGGAGTGTATAAAGTACCAATGGGATTAATAAAGGACACACCATCCTCCCCATCCATCTCTGGGTCATTGTCCTCTGCAGCATTGCCACCTATGTCAAACCAGAAGTTACCTTAACAGTCCGAGGCTCATTAGCACTAAAATACAGATAAGCATTACAACATGCGTGGCTTCAGTGTATTTAGGGAGACATCCAAATGAGATAAGAGAATACATCAAAGTATTTAAAATATAGGAATTACCTAGTGAGTTGTGGTATGTAACACTAGTCTTTCAGGTCTAGAACTTGAATTTATAGCAGCAGATTATTACAATCTTAGCGCTGTTTTAGGCAAGCTGTTGTAAACTAAGGTACAAATTTCATCTTTAACCATTTGGATGCTGTGAAAACACATAAGCCCTTCTCAGTTGCAGTGTGGCCAAGAGACTGGAAAACACCAGTGCTCAGTTCAGTATCCTTGCTGATCGAGGTATGTGTCAGCAGAGGGAAATGAGTGATCTGATAATCCTTCTTCTCCTTTGCACCCTGAAAACAGGGTGGTCCACCAGGAATGGGGACTGGAGGAGTTTACTCTTCAATTGCTCATTTGTGCTTGGGCATATGAAACATACTAGGAGCAAAGTATGAGCAATCCATGGAACAAGTCAGAAGCATAGCACAGTCTATGTATTTTGTATAAGCATGCAAAGATCCCCCCACCCCCTACAAAAATGGCTTTTCTTCTTTAACAGCCTTCAGTACAAAGCAAAATTATATAATGTGAGGCATTCTGTTGGGAAAAGAAACATTACACAGAAACATTGGTACAAAGCATGCACTCATTTAGACTCATTATTTTCTCTCAGAATTTCAAGTGTATCATGGACTTGATTTAAGCTGTGGAGAACCAGGGGTTAAGAAGTCCACCACAGTGCAGATGGCTGAAGAAACTATGAGGCCCAGGAGATTAAGGATTAGTAGAGATCTTGAATCTGGTCCACACCAGTTATAATCAACATAATGCCATCTGACAGCTGTCCTGAGACGCACATGAAATTAGTTCCTTGTTGCCTGAAGTCAACACCACCATCATTATTAAGAGGGGTCCTGGCTAGCAGCCTGAGCACAGGAACCATGGAGCAGTGGAGCCGCTCTGCCCCCAGAGACCACCTGTGTAGGACTGAGGCCCTCCCATAGCAGGGCAGGGTGGAAGCAGCTGCACCCTTCACCCAGCATCAAATCCGGCATCCAGTCTCCAAAGTAGTCAAAATACTGGAGCTGGCAGTGGAGCACACAGCCTACGGCTCCTGCTTTAGCATTATAACCCAAAAATGGATGGCTCAAGAATCACAGAAGGATCTTGATGGCACATTTTTCCAGACTGCAAAGCCAGGATTGGAGCTGAAGGACTGACATCTGGCTATGCTCTAAGAGTAAATGCCATACGTTCATCTAGTGCTAAAAAGGCAACACACAAACATACTATTACGTAACAGTCAAATATGCTAGCCACAGGAGAATTATCTATCAGCCTTTTGCTGACCATTAGCACTAAAGGAGGGGAAGGGACACCTTGAACACGAAGCCACTTTACCTATATATCCTCCGCCTCCTCCACCTGAGGAGCACCCCCCTCCACCCCCTCCGAAACCCCCTCTTGTCTCCCACCCCCACTTCTTCATGGCCTGGGGGCAGGATCTTCCTCCAGTAGCACCTTCCAGCAAGGACTTTCCTGACCACAGGAAGGAAGTGTTATCATTCCAGCCACCTCCACCACCTGTGGTTAACAGAAGAGAAAAAGCATAGGCAAAGGTCATTTTCTTTTTTTTGTACAAAACAAACACCTTAGGGATCCACTGAATGAGCACTCACTCAAAGCATCTCAGCTGAAAGAACAAATTTCGTTCTGTGGTTAGAAGAGATGTCCTTCCTAACCAGTCCTACAGTGACCTTACTTTAGGGCTTTGATCATGTTAACCACCTGCACTTCTTTTTGCCTATCATATGAGGACTAGCATTTCCAGTGGAAAATGTCAAAAGATATCCCTACCTACTCTCCAAGCACGTGCTTCTAAGCTTACAGAGTGTTCTCTTCCTCTTTGCATAAAACAGAATGTTGTTTCTAATGTGGAACAAAAGGAATTCAGTGGAAGGGATGCAAAAACATGTCCCACTCTGCTCTAAAAACATAGTCACCTGTGATTCAATTTCAACTTTGTAGATTGCTCAATACAAGGTCTCTTCACAGAGACTCCTAGCTAGCACACAATTATTCTCCTTTCACATAAGCCAAAGAAACTATGAGTATATCTAAAATAGTGCAAAGAGCTGTATGGTCTTATCATCACAGCAAACTCCCTCAACAATCGTGACTTAGCAGAGTGTTGTTAGAGTTAGGGTAGTTTGATTAGGTTGCGGTTGGACTTGACGATCTTTAAGGACTTTTTCGTAGAATCATAGAATTGCTGAGGTTGAATTCCATGATCAAAATAACAAACTTTGCTTATCAGAGATCCAACACTATTTTACCAGCACTCCACCATTTCTGATATCTTTATTTAGGCCAAGTATCCTGCACTGTGGGTACATCCTACACATCTGTTGTACTTCCAGGCTCCTCTGAATGTTTTCAGAAGCTTCACTTCACCTCCACAGAATCTGGGCGAATCAAATACTCACAGTGGTTTTCTTAAGAAGAATAAATTTTTCTTACCTGCAGCTCCTGAATTTCCGTTCAGCCCTGGAACAGAGGAATCATTCTCCAGCCTTTCTGGATGAAATGTGTCTGTTTTGGCTCTGTAGGCCCTGCCACCACCTCCTGCTGCAATTATCAAGGGGACTGGTTCTCCATTCTCCATCTTAAATTCAGAAGCAAAGGCAGTATTCAGACTGAGTCCCATACACAAATGCAAGTTCAACTACGTGCTTGTTACTGCACCTTACACTAAGCAGGCATTTAGGACTGCTGAAAATATAAATTACCACTGCATTATTTAGGCACCAACATCCAAAAGACTAATGAATAGCACTAGTTCTACCAGATCTGCAGGGAACAGAGGCAATTGGCAGCTCTGTGAATTATAAATCATGTAATGTTATCATGTTATAAGCTTCGTCAAGCAAAACAGCTAATGTGTAATGCCCTACACAGCGCACTATAATGTCTGCACTTATAAAGGACTGCTACACTAGAAACTGTCTGAACATGCAGAGTTACATAAAAGTATATAGAAGTCAGTCTGTTCAAACATATTATTCACCAGGGTGAAACTGGTGTTTGGAAAGAGTATCATCTCAGACAAGGTACAACAGTACAGATGGCTTCTAGCTGTAGAGTTGCCCATACAAAAACATACAGACTACCTTCAGCTTTTCTTGTTGTTACATCATTTAAGTTAAATATCTAGCTGAAGGCTCATGTTCTACAATGACATATTCAAATAAAAAGGAATTCACCCTTTGCTGTAGGTATTATGCTTCAGAATCTTAGTTTGCATTGAAAAAAAAAAATAATCTGTTTCCAACCGTTGCAAAGCCAATTCCAAGCCACTAAAGTGAGCATGGCAATACCGTGAAGCCATTCTAAGGCATGTGAAAAGCCATCTCTGCTCTCTACCTCTCTATCATCTGGAAATGAAGGACACCCTGAGTTCTTTGTGGTCCCTTTCTCACAGGTGTGTAAAATATCTATTTCAGGCTGTGATACTGGAGGCAAGTAGCAGTACATATTCATGCTGAAGGTGCACAAAGACTATGTTTCCATACCTTAAATATATAAGTTGCACCTCCCCCACCTCCACCTCCTCCTGCCCATTCATTGACACTTCTGTTCACACGTATCTCCTCTTCAATCACATTGTTCTCTCCAATGCAGACTTTCTGTATAACGTCATTGGTCTGCAAACAGAAGAGCAGGGCTGAATTCTGAAAATAAATTTCTAAGTTCTAGTACACACACAAGCTTTATGGCCCCTCAGCCCTCTCAAACCATGTCTGTCTAGAGCTGAAGTGTACTGGAGGCTCACACATGTACCAGAGCTAACCTAAATAGTCATAGCACGCACAGTAGCGATGAGCTCAGTGTAGATTAATCCAGCAGCACTAATATTGCAATTACCAGAGCTAGGATGTTCAAAGCCTATGAAAAGAACTGCTATCCCACCTTCAACTGCAATGTTGACACAACATTAAAGAAAATATTTAACTAGAAAACCCCCACAATTCCTACCCAGCATTTTTTTTCCCTCCACCATTTAGCTCCAAACATAATGAACCTTCCACATCAGGCAAATCACTGAATTCACTGACTTATTTCAAACACAACATTAAGCTATTGTTTCTAAGTGCTTCTGGACTACAATCTAAAAACAAAACAAAACAATAACTCCTGCTTCGGTTTTAAATTGGGGCATTAAGTGCATGGAAAGATGGGTTTTGCTTTGAGTTCTTGTAAGTCACAAGCTCTGCTTCTTGCTTATTTTTTTTCTATAAGTTTCACCTGAGTAACCCTGTCTTGTTATGTACACCTCACTCACTAAGCTAATGACATTTTAAGGAAAAAATGCACAAACAGTTGTACAGTAAAACTGTTATGTTTCTACCTACTCCCACATATGTATTTCCTTTTGGGAGACCTGATAAAAGCATCTTCCTCAAGTTACAAACTATTCTGTTGACCAGAAAACAGTGCGCCAGAAAATGAATGCTATCTACTTAGAGTTTGTGGACTTGTCTATGGAGCAAAACGACCCCTCTCCTTTACCCTTCCCTTAATTGACCAGAACTTGGGTGGGGATGATTAATATGATGACAAAGTCAATGACTCAGAGGGCCCACTAGATTACAACTGAATTAAAAAAAAAAAAAAATCCTTCACAGCGAAGACATAACTGATTACAATCCAATCTAGTAAAGGTCCCTTCTACAAGTCAATACAATCTCTCTGCTTCAATGAAAGAATTACATTAGTACTCAATAAATTCTCACTGAGATTACAGAGACCCGAAATTTAATGACTCCATATATTACACTGAGCTGGAATGCCCTAGTTATAGATGTTAGATGGAAGTTTGAGTTAGGGCACTTCTTATTTCAAAGAGGCTTCATATTTATGGTTTGTTTGTAGATGCGTGTAATTCCAGGTTTAACATTATTTATTTCAGCACATGGCCTTGAAAACCCACTTTCTTGTCTGCATCTTTCAAACCTTCTCTACTCTAACAGACGGAGAAACTTTCACTTCCTGGATGCCAGACATCCAAAAGTTGAAAAACACACAGCATTTAAATGCCCAGCTCAAACCTGTAGGTGAAATTCCAGCAGATAAGGCTTAGTTCTACTCATAACAATCTCTTAATCCCAAATCCTCCGAAGAATACTAAAAGATTAACAGAGTACTGCAAATGGCAGAAGTTGCTCCTTTCCATCTAGATATTTGCAGCAATGCTTAGCTAGTACCATGAAAATCAGGGCTGTCTCATCAGGAATTCATTCATGTCTCCCAAATCCCCCACAGAAAATAAACACAAATGGGCACTGTGAGGTGAGTATTTCCCATTGCAGAGTATTGTGGCAGTTGTAGGGTTGGACTGAACAGCAGAGCAAAGCCAAAGCTCTGTGAAGTCAGAGGAAAGGAAGGCAGGGTTGACTTCTCCCTCTGCAAATCCACACAGGTGCTCTGAGATATACAGATTAATCAGAAGCCTATAGTATTACCTCTGTAAACAGACAAAATTCCACCAGTTTGTAAGCAACAAAGCAAAAAGGACAATCTCTTACACTAGGGCAAGCATCTTCTCCTTGCTGTCCCACCAAGATATACAACGTATCATCCTTCTGGAGGTCAAAAATTCCCAGTACAGACACGCCATGGGATCTCACCATGGTGTTCTTCCCTCCTTTCCCACCAGCAGCTCCATAACCTGAGATGCTGCAGGAAAACGAACACAAGAACATGCATATAATCAATGAATATAAAGACGTTATAATTATGAAATAAACCAGAGAGTTTGGCTCAGCAGGTTATAATAACAAAAAGAGAATAGATAGAATGCTTACCTGCACCCTGGGCTCACTGCAAAACTGCAGAGGAGAGATCTCCAGATGAGATCCTTCCCCACTGGCAGCCAGCTCTTAAATAGGTCTAGCAGAGGTGCAGCCAGGCTCCACCTCTTCTGGTAGCACAGCTGAATTGCCTTCACCTGTGCTCCCGTGGCTCAGGTGATCAATCAGAGGTTCAGGCTGCGATTCAGCAGTTCCCATATAAATGTGGTACCTGAGTTGTTCCAGATAAGTGGAAGCTAATATCAACGACTTATGGGCACTGAGTGCTTTGTACACCTGAACTGTACACAGTGTCACAGGACCTTGCCCCAAAGACCTGACAACTCTAAATACAAAAAAAAAAAAAAAAAAAAAAAAGCTTGAAGACTGAAGTCTTCTGTTCTGTGTGAGTCTACGAGCTTGGGTAGCTGCAAAACAGATTCTTTCACACTGCTGAGGACGCACTGCGCAAGTCCCTGTAGTTTCAAACTTTAGTATATGTAACAAGTATATGTAACATATCTTGTTTCCCAGAAGGCATGCCCTTAAGAGGTTTGCAGTGAGCGCTGCAAAGATCAGAAGCAGTAGAACTAATGAGTACAGCACGTATGGCTAAATAGAACCTTTTGCACAATATTGACGGGGAAATTTGAGAAAGCAGACTATCACCGGTCCCAGTACAGTAGACCAGATGGGAAACAGTTCTCAAATTTCCAGGAACAGAATGAAAAACAGTAAATGGGCACACTACTGGCAGTAAATAGGGAAGGCAAAAGCCTCCTGGCTTAACTCACAGTCACCATGAACATCACACTGTCTCCAGCCAGGAGCAGCTAGTTTGCACGCAGAGGCTGCTGTGGTCTCAGGTAAGGCACTTGGACATTTATTCCAAGTAATCAAGATTCAGAAGTCCTTACTATCGTTGATATACTCAAAAATTGGACTGCTCAGATCCTCCCTCTCCTTTTCTATGTACATAAACATCTTACACATTTGAAGCAGTTTTTACCATGAGACTGCAAAGCATGTCATAAATATCATGAAACACACATTTCTGCTGCAACAAAAGACATAGTCACTTGACTTCATCAGCAAGTGAATGGTGGCAAACCAAGCTAGCTCAGTTTAGATCTGAAATAAATAGGTGATTTTCCAGTGACTTCCAGCTATTTCTATGAGAGTAAAATTCAACCTGGAGCGTGTAAACAGTGATGCAAGGCTGAAGATACAAATTTTTTCCTTGTCTTCCTACCTATTCCACTAAGGATGCTCTCCTTAACTCCTATCCTTTAGCATATGATGGGTTTTTGCCCTGCACAGTCCTGCAGGCTGAAAGCAGAACAAACCAGCAGAGCTCAGTGTGTATGAGCACCCTGACCAGGTCAGGCGGTCAGCTTCCTCCCTCAGGGAACAACCAGCTCACTTTCAGCTAGCTCTTGCCCCGAAAGGAACTCACCTTATGACACCACTACGAGGCAGCCAGCCTGGAGCAATTTCAATGTCATAGCAAATATGGAGCATCAAGTGCCTCATAAAGCAGATTAGATCCTTGCAACGTGACACGACTGTGTTCATGCCACTCTCGGTAACCAAAGCAATCATTTCTCAGTAAGGCTGCACTGGAGCCAGCAGAAAAAGTGATAAACACACAGTACTGGGCTCCCCTGAGCAGACACTGCATGAACCTGAAGACTGAGCTAAATTTACTGTAGAATTTTGGAATGCTTAATGAAGTGCGCTGTCAGGCACAGCAAGCTGGCACAGTTAATCGGCTGCAATTAGGGCCATATTTTTCTGTGCATAAACAGATTTTGCATATAAGCAATGATATCACAAAATTTGAGAAAACCCATTTCTGCCTCATTCAAAGGCTGCAAACAAATAATAAATGGCAGGTTTGGGAAACAGTCATTCCATATTTAAAATGTGTATTGCTATTTAAACGGATGGGTTATCTTGACTTCAGATGAGAGCAGGATCCCTCTCCTTAGGCAAGGCTTTCTTTTATGGGAGGGATACACTTAAACCACATTGGCTTTGAAGAAAGTCACATTACCTGAGAAGATATAAGCAAAACACAGCATACCTTCCTAAAAACTTCAGGAAGGAGCAGCATGTGCATAGGGCACTGACAGTACAAGCACAACCTTGTGTTTTTGTTTTGCCTTACAAGAAGGGACAAGAGAAATGAAAATTGTGGAAGTGACACCAAATGATCATACAGAAAAATAGATCAAAGGTTCTTGCTTTAAAAAATGAATAAATTTGGTTAATGGATGAAATGTAATTTGTTACAGCTTGCTTCTTCATAGTTGATCATAGGCATAGATGTTGGATGACAAAGTCTTCTGAATGCTTTGAGGACAATCTAGATAGAAAAAATATTTTTTTATACTGCCTAACTTTATTATTATTATACAGTGCTCACCTCATGGTATTGAACCAGCTTACTTTGTCTGCATCAGCACTAGAGCGTATAAGAATGCAAACTTCAAATGAAGCAGTGTACAGTGTGTGCAGCCTACCCAGGCCTTCACAGATTGTGGGGTAAGCTTATGTTAGCAGAGTTTTGTGAAAAGTTAAGCTTTCTGTCTCTGAGAATTAATAAAGCATATTTTGCCTTGTGTTCACATGATCTATATTCAGCTTATTCAATTACTAGGTATGTAACTCACTGTGCTGCATTACACAGTGCAAGACGCACTGATGAACCATACCAGCTTTCTAAACAGCCCAACAGCCAGCTGGAGGATTTTATCTCTGGGTCAAATAAATTGGAGATGGGTAGCAGATGGACCTGCAGGACTCGCAGTGCAGTAGGCTTGCAAGGGAAAGCTAAATACAGGCTGTGGATTTAGACTCTGGAAAGCCTACTGCTGATATTGCAACTTGATGTTTTCCTAGAGCTGTGCTATGCTGTGGGGGTCCCTCCTGCTCCTCCAGCAGCTCTGAATCAGGAATATGTCAAGATAATTTAGGTCCACAGTTGCTGCCTCCTTTCCTCAGGCTGTGAATTCTCTACAGCAGCCTTAGGAAGCACAGAAGAGAATGTCATCTAGTTAATGATATTAGCCATTTATTATCTATACTGAACTAAAAGCCTGTTAGGTCATTTATAGGACCTTAAATATTTACGTCCCTCCTGCAGGAGCCTCATTTCACCTGTGGTTTGTATTGTGTAGCAAAAATCAGCCTACAGTTGCACTAAAATTTTGGCTCTTTCTTGGCCTCCAATATTAAAGAAATGACAATACTGTAATTTTATTGCCTCTTCTCTTTTGGGCTATGCTTTATATCCTTATTTACTGAATGCTGGTCCTGAAAAATTCTTTTCACCTCAGGCAACTCATTTTTGATAGTTGAGTAAAATACCATGAATGCTTTCTTCATTATCATCAATCCTTCTGGTAACAGGCACTCAGGCAGAACTTGAGCATAGCCTAACCTAGCCAGTTTCTCATAACTGCTTTGCAGCAGACTTCTGTTAGAGACTGGTACCTACCCCCAGTATATATATTTTTTCAATAAGACTAAAAAAAAAAGTAACAAAAAAACAAAAAAATCCCCAACAACAACAGAGAAGGTGACAGTAAGTTTTAATTGAAATTTGTCCAAAGACTACACTAGAATTTTCTGCTTCAAAATCCATGACACTATCATTAGTTTCAATAGGGAATGCTGCATTAAAAATACACTAGATAATCATTGATTCATTGAGATAAAGTGGTGCATGTTATGGCTTGATGTTGCTATTCAGATACAATGGGCTAAGCTCTGCACCTTTCCTCCCAGTAGGAGCAAAAATAGGAAAAGAAAAGTGGTAAAAATCAGCTTAAGTTGCATTAAATTGTACCTGATCATCTCCCTTTAAGGACAACTCTGTAGGGGGATTTAAGCATTTTAACTCTCAGTGTCAAAGCCTAACACTTTGGTGGCTGGCTTCCAAAATCAATTCTACAGTGCTGATAGGCATACAGACTCAACCTACTATATCTAGTTCCAAAACAGAGCAGACGCTGATGTAATCTGTCCTGTAAGAAAAGCTGACAGAGTTGTACCTCCTATATCAGATGAAGAGTGAGAAAAACTGATTTTGATGCCAAAGTTCAATGGATAGCATATAGGATGAATTGACCTTGGCTCAGGGAGGTCAAATACTGACTTTTCAGTTACTTATAAAGCTCTCCCATCCTCTAAGGTATTTAGGTTGAATATTTATGTGCTTCAGGACAGTTGTTTCTTTTCTTCTCCATTTCACCAAGTAGTAGCATCTGCTGGACAACAAATCTACAACTGGAAAGACTGGAAATCACAAAATCAAGGAGAAGTAGATCTGCCTAAATTTCTGAATACAACACATACACGTCTAGCACGTATCCACAGCTTGGAGAAATTCTAACACAAACACATGTTATAAGAGCAACAGATGTTTCCCTTACCTGTACGTGTTGGTTGCTGGTACTCTCCAGATTTGAATGCCTTGGAGAATCCCCTCAGCTCCGACGATCACACTGAGGTTGGAGTTCCTGTAGGCATCATTGCATTGGCTCTGTGTTGGGCCATAGGCTCCACTAGCACCACATGTTGTGAACAGCCAGTGATCTGAAATGAGAACGTAGGCAAACCATGCTCTGAGCACACAAAGATCAAGTAGCTGCTCTGCTCTTCATCCACTCTTTGTTATTGCAGTATCAAGAGAAGAACTTGGCCCTTGAGGTTTTAGCCAGAACAAATATTTGCACAATTCTTTCAAACGTCTCATAACTCTGTACAGCTTTGACAGGTTCTCATCTAAAACTTCTCAAAACTGCTACAACCATGCTACTTTTTCTAAGGCTCCAAAAGGTAAAGATAACAGAGTAGAAAAGAAGTAAAATGCACGAACTTCAAGAGTGTGCATTTTAGCCATTTCAGCTCATATTTATATTTGACCATTGAACCTATTTTGTATGGGAAAGTAGCTGTTAATTAGATAAAAGCCTGTAAATACGGCATTTCTCAGTGAGTACAACATAACAGTAAACTGATAACTTTTTGAATAATGATTTAGATGAGATTCAAGTTAAATTTCAGAAGTCAGAACACCTAACTGGTCTGTAGAACAAGCATACAGCTCTTCACGTTATAGTTCAGATCTTTGGAAGTAAATCAATGCAGATCCATTGCAGCCTTTTTCATCAAATGGAAAGACCAGCTCAGTACAAATAGATTTCTAGAACATGGCTTTGATGATTTGTGCCTCACAAACCTGAATTTTAATTTGAATGCATGATGCCAGCATGTTGCAAGATCACAGTGCTCTTACAATACCTACCTCAACATATTGGATCATAAATAAGGAAATATTGCCTTCGTAATCAAAACTAACCTCTAGATGGAAAATTAATAGACTGGGCAGTTTTTGGTGCACATTGTGTGATTTATCATCCATATTTGTTAACAAGCAAATCCACACAATCCAATGAACTCTATTATTGGAGTTCATCCTAGTGACAGAGAATATGGCAGTATAATAAACTGCCATTAAAGGCAAAAGACTTGGAACATGTCTAAAGAAAATATTATTTTTATAAATGATGCCGGGTCAGCCAATTCTCCTTCTAGCATTGGCAAAGGGTAGCATTTTGCCACCCAACCTTCTCTACTGCAATACAACATATGCAGGCTTTTTCAGAACTAACTAGCTCAGAAAATGAGAACATTAGATAGATTCTGCTTCTTGGTATCTGACACTATTTTCTGAGCAGCCCTGGTCCAGAACTGATAATGAACAAGTGTCTGGACAAGAAAGGCAAGCACTTCTACCATTATTGCTGCTGTGCCAGCTCACCTGTCAGAAATAAAGGCAACACAGTAGTAAAGCCAACCACAAGTTTTCACAAACTAATCCTGGAGACGGACTAAATTCATTTTTCAATGCATGAAATGGATCAAACAATTTGATAGTAGTGCAAGAAATAGAGTGGCTGGTACTTCTGAAAAACTTTCATAACTGAGCCCTGGCAGCTCCTGAAGTAATGCAAAACTGCTTTAGGAAAGCTTCCCTATCTAAGCATTGCTGAGAGAATAAGCTCTTACGTCTTACTGCAAAATCTATATCACCTCTCCTCAAGACCACCCTCCAAGGACCTTCTAGGGACTTTTCTACTGTTGTATATAGATGCCCTTATTTTACTTTTTTCTCAAATCCCTCAGCAATGGATGGCTATATAAAGTCTTAAAATTAGTAGATAGCAAATGGAATAATTCCCCTCTCCTCCTCGGACACCAGTACACTCCCCTTCCTGAACAACAGGCAAGAAGGGAAAGCACCTAAGAAAGCAAGCGGGCCTGAAGGTTCTATGCAAAATGCTTCAGTAGCTCTGATTCTGCAAATAACTTACAGCCTTATACCTAAAGTTATTTATGTTTATTATTTTTATTGGGGGAAAAAAAAGAAAAAAAAACAATGAAAAAACCCATCATCAAAAACAAAGTGAAATTTCACACAGAATGGAAGATGAGACACCTTCTGTCAGCTATCACAGCAATTTAACATTGCAACATCCCAGTGGGCTAAGCCACCTGCACTGAAACATATGTTTAGTAAAGCAGACAGGTAAATGTCTTTGCTTGGAACAATAAGAAGCCATTTGGATGTCTCTGGTGAAACATCAAAAATGTTCCCAATGGTAGCAGCAGGTGACCTTCAAGAGGACAACATACCCAAAAGATGAGAGAATTATATGGAAAATGGAAAGGTATATAACCTAACACAGACCACAGCATGTGCATACTGCTGCTATGATTAAGCTTTGCATTTACAATTTACTCCATTTAAACAAATTTCCATCCTTAGTTATCTACTTACATGGCAGAAGTACCTATAGACTGTCACAAGTGCAACACATGGCATGGCTGCACCTGCAAGAGGCAGCTCTTGACTCTCACTGGGTACCATGGGCAGGGGATCAATTAACTACATCTTATTCCAAAATGCTTTGTAATGATCCTCTGTTTCCTTAACCAGCGCAGTGCCCTGAAAGAACAGAAGAAAAATGCCCTCCTACTGTAAACATCATGCCACTAAATCTTGAACTGAAAATATTTGGTATTTTCTGCTTCTTCAATAGCCGGTAAGATGCTCTTTTCCAGAACGCAGGCAGTATCAGGGTAAGACCAAACCATGCTGGTGATATAAGATTAGTGAATGTTCATCTCAGCTCTCTGAATTTGACTTTTAAAGCAGAGCACAAGAGATCTGGAAAAAAAAAGCCAGAGATATGCTATGACTGGAGGTGCTGGGTCCAGTCTTGTTCAACATCTTCATCAATGACCTTGATGAGGGGATAATGGCCACCCTCAGCAAGTTTGCTGATGATACGAAGTTGGGAGGATTGGCTGACATGCCTGAAGGCCGTGCTGCCATTCAGCAAGACCTGGATAGGCTGGAGAGCTGGGCAGAAAAAAACTGGATGAGGTTTAACAAAAGCAAGTGTAGAGTCTTGCATCTGGGGAGGAATAATTGCATGCACCAGTACAGGTTGGGGGATGACCTGCTGGAGGGGAGCCCCGCGGAAAGGGACCTGGGTGTCCTGGTGGATGACAGGTTGGCCATGAGCCAGCAGTGTGCCCTTGTGGCCAAAAAGGCCAATGGCATCCTGGGGTGCATTAAAAAGAGCGTGTCCAGCAGGTTGAAGGAGGTGATCCTCCCCCTCTACTCTGCCCTGGTAAGACCTCATCTGGAGCACTGTGTCCAGTTCTGGGCTCCCCAGTACAAAAAAGACGAGGATCTCTTGGAAGGAGTCCAGCGGAGGGCCACGAAGATGGTGAAGGGTCTGGAGCATCTCTCCTATGAGGAAAGGCTGAGTGATCTGGGTCTGTTCAGCCTTGAGAAAAGGAGACTGAGAGGGGACCTGATCCAGGTCTATAAATATCTAAGGTGTGGGGGGCAGAATGGCGAGGCCAGACTGTTTTCAGTGGTGAGTGGAGACAGGACAAGGGGAAACGGCTGGAAACTGCAGCATAGGAAGTTCCGCACAAATATGCGCAAGAACTTCTTTACAGTGAGGTGACGGAGCACTGGAACAGGCTGCCCAGGGAGGTGGTGGAGTCTCCTTCTCTGGAGATGTTCAAGACCTGCCTGGATGCCTACCTGTGCGACCTGCTTTAGGGAACCTGCTTTGGCAGGGGGGTTGGACTCAATGATCTCTGGAGGTCCCTTCCAGCCCCTGCAATTCTGTGATTCTGTGATAAGGAGCCTGGAGATGACTGAGCACAGAAGGAATTATCTTAGATTTCAATAGCGGTCCTGCTGTATTGACACAGTGGAATATGCAAGACTGCATCTAAAGCCTACATGGTTCTGCACTTGCTGTATTCTGTGCAAGCAAACATATCTAATTGCTCAGTTCATGTAGATGGTGGGCAGGAATGAAGACATTTTTCAGAAGCAGCAGAGCTGTGGTGACATCCACAATAAAAACCAACCAAAGAGTTGGAAAAAGCCAGCCCAAAGTGATGTCTGACTGCAGCTGATGTCAGGGAACAAGGGTTTCAGTAAAAGCCTACAGTCAGGTATTGCATGATATCCTCATTTGTCACTACTGCTCTGACCTGCAAAAAGTAGTTTTTCTCGTTTATCTCCACTTTTATTTTTTATACCAGAAGCCATTCCAACATCTAACAGCTTTGCTGCTGAATTAAATGAAATAGAATGCAGCATGGGAAGAAGTTGCCCCTCATTTCAAAATGAATAGCACAGATAGGCCTCAATTACAATTTTGGATACAGATAAAAAACCTTTCATTTCCCTTCCTCTTCTCTCTTAAGTTTCACAAATCTCAATCCTCAATCTGCAGAAACAACAGTAGCTGAAAATCTTAAATCGGTATTAAAACAGACTCAAAGTACTCCCTACCTTAGATAGCCCACCATTTCTTTTTAAGTAAGAATAACTGTTCTTTTTTAGAGCAAGAATAACCACTCATTCGTTCCCTGTAATGTATAGATTTTCTCTTGATTCTCAAAATGACTGCAGCATGTCTTTTGAGCTCAGGACTTCAATGTGTTGCTGCCTGCCACAGCACAGCAGCTCACCCTAATTCCATCCAAAGCATTATTTTCATCTCCAAAGGCTACAGCAGCAGCCCTGATCCCAAACTCCTTAAGCAGGCAGCTGAGAAGCACTTCTTTTTTTCCCCACTCGCTTACAAACACGATCCATTGCACACTGCATGGCACTGCCTCTTCAATCCGTGTGATGGGGAGCACTGCTGGCACTGCTTTGGAATTTTGCCTGACTTCATACAACATACAGATGCCTGATTTCCAGAAACAGCTGAGAATTCCCATGATGAAAATTAACAGGAAGCCAAATGCAGGGTCCCTAATAGATTCTGCCATGGGCAGTTGCAAGATGCTAACTGGATTTAAGAACTGGAAATGCCTGCTTAGTGTAGGGGGAAAAAAATAAATGAATTGAGATTCAGAATTGGGGTATTACATTTCAGTGAATAATTTATATATTGATAGAATGCCCACTTTCATGGGAAATTTGGCAAAGAACTATTTGGTCTGCTGCCTGCTCACCCACACACCTGCCCTTCTCAAGCTGCCTGGGA